AAGTTTGTGATGCATACTGTGGAAGACATTTTAAAGAGGCAGTAGGTTGTCCTTCACTTGGCAAGTTTGGCCAGGAACCAACTGTGTTTCCATTGTACACCCTTCAAAGGAAAAGGCAAGGCAGCTTGTAACAACTGCATCTGAAGGGTTCTGATAATGCGGGTACAGTATGGAACTTGGAATGACCAGCAAATCATTGCAGGCAGCCAGAGAGGCATTATAGGTTAGAAACTGTTAATTCTATCTGCCCCTATCCTAAATTGTGCAGTAGAGGATGCACATTAAGAGTGAACTTGAGAAGGCATTTTGTGCTGCTGATGTGAATCTACCATTGTGTGTAGTGCTTGCAAGATCTGGGGCCTAAAGTGATAAGAAAATTGCTGTTCAGTCTTACCTATGAATCATGAATGGAGCAGTGTCTGGGAGTGAATTGGTAGAAGAGAACATTATCCTATAGCTCGTATCTGGTACAGAGAAAGGGATGACTTTTTTTTTTCTCTGCACCTCCTCTGTTGTTCTTCAGAAGTGCATCTGTTACTCTCATCAGTATTGGTTGGTACTGCAGGTGCTAAGCATGACTGAAAATGAGATTATCCATGACAGGTGGGAGTCCTAACCTGCCTCATTCTTGGGAAACTGCAAAGATTCTGCTCTTCTACTTCTGTGGTGACCTGCAGTCCATGCTCCTGCTCAGTTTGCAGAACAGAAAGAACCAGTTAATGGAGTCTGCTCTGATTGTCTCTCTGGTTGATGAGGGACCTGCATGAGCACTACAGCTAGAAATTGCTGATGCCCTATGGATGGTTTTTTGTTTTCCTGCTGATCTTTTAGCTTAACAATTCAGCAGACCGAAGCAATTGTTTGTGCTGTCTATCCCATGAGAAAGGCAGGGTTGGAGCAGTGGAAAAAACGAGTGAGGGGTGTGATTAAAGACTTGCTAATGATTAGGAAATGTCTCTATGAACCATGGGCAGATAAGGGCAGAACAGCCTCATTCCTGCTGTTCTGTTGCCATGACGCAGGGATTTTGTCATTTTTCATCTACTGCTATTGTAATAATTGTCTAGGCTTTCTCTCTTCACCCCAGTAGTGTTACTGCAAAAATGAGGTGATGAAACTGGGAGAGAAACTAGAGGAGCAGCAGAATGTAATGGCATAAAGGAGGCTGGTCAAGTTTCCAAGAGATGAGCAACCTCACAGTACCATGCTTTGTGGGAATGCCCCTCAGGTGGCCCTCAGGTTTAAGCAATCACATGTATGTCACTGTTGTTCCTACTGACTTTTTTTTTTTACAGGGCTCTTTTTAATAAGACCTGAGGGATGTCCTGGGTCCAGTTTCCTGGAACTGCAGACAATTACATCTTGGTCATTGGCATAACTAGCATCAGCTTCATTGTTTTAATTTGTAAATGTGGACTGAAGATCTGCAATATTGTTCAGGGGCTCTGTGTCACCCTGAAGAAATGAAAAATACTTAGTTTTTCTTTAGATTAAGAAATGGGTTTGCCATTTTCTTTGAATCATCTGCTTCTACTGCAGTGAAATGTGACACTTTTTCTCTGGGACTGGCCTTCAGCATATTGTAGAGTAGGCAGCTGATGGATTTTTAAGGGCTTTGAAGCCAGGGTATTCCAGCTTGCTACCAGGCAAAATAAATAGCTGCAGATAACTTGGGAGCAGGATTTGCTCTCAGAAATAGCACTGGTTTAAAGCAAAAATCTTAATGGCAAGTTTCAGCACTACAGTACAGATGACTTACTGTAGCATGTGTGTACGCAGCTGTGAAGACAAGGTAGCAGAGTGGTGTTTGTGGGAATTGAATATGTCTGTGTATGCTTGCAGAATAAGGCTGGGTGGGTTTTTTGGTGGGTGGGTTTTTTGGTGGGTGGGGTTTTGTTTGTTTGTTTTCTTCTTGCAGCTCTGCCAACTAGCCCAACATACAGCCACTTCTGTAGTTTTGTAAAGTCTTCCTCTGTAGCTAGCCTGTGGCTGACTATATAGTAAAGCTGTAAGCTTTTGGACAGAGAAGCTGGCATAAGCACAGACAGTGCCTCATAATTAAGAAAAAAGCTGTCTCGGAATGATACCATGAAACTGATCCACAATTAACAGAGGATAGATACAGACCAGTTCTGCAAACCCACGTGAGATTCTTAATCTGATGCAGTAAACTCTAGTTGGTGTCTAGTAGTTAAACCATGCTGTCTCTTGCAGCTTCCTTGCTAATAAAGGTTAAGTAGTCAAAGCAACTCTGCTAATATTTGGCTTTTTAATGCAGATTACAACACAGCTTACACTCATACAGTTTTGTGGCATTTGCAGGGCAAAGATGGGGAGAGAATTGCAATAGGATTTTGTACAGCAAATACCCAGTTGCTCCATATAAGCACAAGAAGTCATGTCTGCAACCCATTCAACATGTGGGTCATCTGCCAGCTAGCTCCCTCACAATGTGTCTGACCGCTGTTGCTTACCTGTTGCAGATTGCTTCCCCCTGAGACTGTTGCATACTTTGCCCTCTTCACCTCTCTTTCTTTCCAATCAAAATTCCTGTCCTTCTAGAAAGCTGTGGTGGTTTAACACCACGAAGAGATGAACATTTTCTCCAACTTCAGTGTTCATGCTTAGCTTACAGCCACAGTTACTGCACAACCTTCCTAGGTAGGACGCAAGCCTTCCAACTCCTAAAATGTTTGAGGTTAACCCCAGCATTTCCCCTTCTCTCTCTTCAGTACTCTTCCAGACTATTCTACTTCTAGTACATGCTGCTGTTATTTGTTCCCCGATAGCTGTGTATAGATGCTTGCCTTGAGATAACTACATTGTCTCAGTGTCACTCCATCTTTCGTAATTAGGAGCATGCAATGGAAGTTCTAGATTGCTTCTGAAGTTACTGCAGAACAGCTGCCTGTAGCCCCAGGACTCGATCTAATTCAGTGGCTCTCTATGTCTTTCTGAGACAACTCTATTCCCACAGCATCTCTGAATAAATGTTTTTAGGAGTGCTTCTTAGAGAGCAAATTAATCTAACACAGCAGCCTCAGCATAGTATTTGTGTGGGCTGTTATGTTAAAGGGGGCTGCAAGGGAGGACAGAATGCATCTTGCTTTGCAGGGCCAGACAACCAAAATGTGCTTGGTCTCCTTTTGCTTGTTCACAAGAGCTCCCCTCTTCTTAGGCTGTGTTAACTTCAGCACCAGGGTAATAAAAACAAAGCATTATTTTTAGCGGACTAAATATTAGGTGCAAGTGCTTATGGTGACTAGAATGTGGTTTTTATTCTATGAGGAAAGATAGGGTGCTTCAGAAACATTGTCTGATGCCATTTGGAAATGGGATTAAATTGGAAGTTGCACTGCAGTCATGTCGGAGTTTTACAGAATAATTCTCTGAAAGCAGGAACACTGTTTAACATCTCTTGCCCTTTCTGTAACTTCTCCTTTTCTATTTTAACACTGGAATTGCATTTGAAAAGATGTTAGCAGCAAATTTGACTGCCAGTTCTTAAGCCTGCTTAACAACTTTCAGTAACAGAACTTACGTAGTCCAACCTGTTTCATTCTAGAGGCATACAGAGAATGCAACCTGCCTCCTCCTACTTTTTTCTGCAGAATAAATATTTTGTCTGTTGAGAGGGGGATGGACACAGACCAAATCTCTTTCTTCCTGCTCTAGGGAAAAAGGTTTTTATTTCTAAAGATGGCTAATTATTCCGTGGCATATTCTGTGCTTGCTTATAGGATGAATAACCCAGTTGATTACTAAGGGTTATTACCCAGAAGGTAGCACAAGAAATAACTGTGGGCTTTTAAACTGTTTCCCTCTGTGGGTCTCAAGTGGGGCACTTATTTCACGATGGCATGGGCAGTTAGTCTTACTGAGTCATTCAAATACTTCACTGTCCAGATACTCAGATGGAATCTGAGCTCTCCTTTTCTGTGTTGGTGCCTTTCTGCTTCGCAGCTCTTGCAGAAACCATACTAAGTGTGCTTTTGTGTTTCCTGCCACACTGACTGTGCTTGGGGAACAGTGACATGACCTCCAGTGACTCAGAATGCAGCATGAGCCACTGCTAGAGCTTCTCTGTCAGCAGCCAGGCCCCTCAAAAATCAAAACTGCTTGTTGACCTCTGGCTGATAACAAGACTCAGTTCTGATGTTTGACACATGCAGATAGGTTCACTGGCATGAAGTATTCTTTTAAATAATGTTTATTGCAGCTAAAAATAAAAGCATCTTTGATACCTATGACTTTGTTGCTGCATATCAGAAAGAAAAGGTACAGCCTTGAGATCAGAAATCATTTACTTATGTCAGTTTAGCATATACTCTTTAAAAGAAAGCCATCTTCAGGAAAGATGTGAAATTAGGAATTTTTTAAAAAATATTTTTCTCAAAAAAACCCCAACCAAACTGTCTAACCTTAGTCTTTGCTGTCTTGAACATCTTGCTCTGTAGGGTGTGAACCTGCTTCCAAGACACCTAGGTTCTGAAACAAAAAAAAACAAAACAATGATATAAATGTGTTCTTGTTTTGATAATACTGGTAACATTTTCTTTTCCCTTTAGAAAAAGGTATGGGGGACTAGAAGAAATGGTAGGTGTGTTACGCAGATCCCACAACAGCAAACCTGGGGTGCTGTGCAGTTAGAGACAAGTTGCCTTAGCTGAGTGTTCCCCTAGACATGGGGGGATGCTCAGAGCTGGCAGGTTTGGTAAAGGCACAGTGGTGGCTGGGACAAGCTGCAAGGATTACGCCTTTCCCTGCAGGCAAGGCTGGACTAAAATAGTGTTCAGGGCAGTGGAATGGGGTAGAAATTTTAAGCAACACAAATCGTTCTTGCTTATCAGGTGAGTATTCTAGCCTTATTTATAATGGGGAGAGAGAGCCCCAGCTTTGTATTCACTTTGGTCTTGCACTGAGCTTGGTGATTGGGAGTCTTCTGTAAGAACTGGACTCTGTTCCTGATTGCCTTTTTGTTTTTTTTCTCCCCCCCTCAATTCAGACTAGGTAGCCATGTCAGCCAAAGCCATCTCTGAGCAGACGGGGAAGGAGTTCTTGTATAAGTATATCTGCACATCCTCTGCCATCCAGAACCGTTTCAAGTATGCCCGAGTCACTCCAGTCACTGACTGGGCACGACTCACCCAGGACCACCCTTGGCTTCTGAGCGAGGTAAGGAAAGTGTCTGTAGTGGCTGAGCCCTTGACAAACCTCTGCCCACCCAGACTGCTCCCTGTCAGGCACAGCATGTCGTGCTGCAGCAGGTTGTGAGCAGAATTATGCTCTGGATCTTTCCTGAAGGACCGGTCGCTGCTGCTGCTCTGCAATATTCATTTGCAACACTGATGAAGAAACAAGCCTTGCTTCAAGGCTGTTGTATCACCTTCTAGGGGGGCTGATTATAAAACTCCTTTAAGGGCTGTGAAATACATGAGCAGAGATATCTGCAAACAAGAAGCTGCTAATAACCACACAGAAGGTAAACGAGGCTAATTCAGACAAAGCAAGAGTCTCTTGAGATGTCAGTCCCTGTTCTCAAACCCTTACTGTCTGAAATCATGGAGTGCTTTCTCTGCGGCTAGCTTTTATGTTCAGTTAGGATACTGCTAAGGTTTTCTGCATCCAAGCAAAATGTTAGGGAAAACTTCATTTTTTGCCTTTTCTGTGCAAGATCTTTTATATCTCTTTGTGTTTCATAGCCCTGCACTTTCTGTAGAGAAAACATATCCAGAGCTCTTTTTATTAGTTGTTCAAGCTGGCTCCTTTCCAGTGCTTAATTACATTAAGTCACTGGTTGGTAGAACATGAATGTTTCACAGTCCTTTACTGACTGACTGATAGAAGCCCCACACTAAGTAATTAAATGTTCCATGCTCAAGTGCATGAGTGAATTGCAAGAAGATATCAGCAGTGCTTCTAAAAAGACTTGCAGAAAGCCAGAAGGGAGGAAGGATGCTATCTATCCTTTAAGACAGAGTTCTATAATGCCAGAAAGGGCTACAGGATCCAGCAGAAAGACCACAATCAGCATTCTGTACTGTGACATGTTATGTTCTGACTCTACACTAAGTTGCTGAAGTTCCAGGACATATTAGCTGTACAGGAGAATGGACCCCATTTTTTTTTTAAAAAAAAAAAAAAAAAAAAAAAAATTGCAAGCCAGAGGTAAGTGTGTTACCTAGGAACACCTTTCCACAGGCATCTTATAAAGAGCCACTGTCAGCTGACTAAAATCTGCATGACCCCTGGCCCTAGCCAGTCTCATACACAAAGTATGTGGTGACAGCAGGAGCTTTTTTGTAAGCAGCTGGCTGCTTGCTGTGTTTAATGGTTTTTCCTTATGAGCCTCTGCTCACAGAGAAATATTAATTTAATAATGCATCTTACAAAGTTTGCAAAACTGACAGGATGCTGTATGCTTTTCAGTGTGATTTTTTTTTTTTACAGAAAGTGAGTACATGTACCCCATTTAACAGCTGCTTTGAAAGGGTTATCAAAGTTCATCAAAAAAAGCCAAAACAAACTATCACCTCAGTCTCTGATGTATACTCACATCTGAGTAGAAATAAGGCAGCTCTTCTCAAAGTACAGTGTAAAAAAACCTGCAGACATGTATCGGGAGATGGATTTGCCAAGAGATTAAAGAAATTCTGCAAGGATCTTTGCTGTACAGAATTTACTTAAGTTTTTGTTTCACTATCTGCAGAGAATTACTTGACCAAAATCACTTTCTAATGCTTCTTTCTTTTAATCTCTCTTGCACAATGTTGTAGCGTTTAGTGGTGAAGCCAGATCAGCTAATAAAGAGACGTGGGAAGCTTGGACTGGTTGGAATTAACCTCACTCTGGATCAGGTGAAGGTTTGGCTCAAACAACATCTGGGCCAAGAAACCACGGTGAGTGCCACCTTAGCAACAAAAACACAAGACTCTTTTTGGTGTGTCTTTTCTGCCTACTTGCATGATAGGAGCTGGTATGCAGGTATTCCTCTTGCTTATGGTGGTTTAAAATGCATGTTACACTGCTGCCAAAGCAAGTGAGAAACTGTCCCACGTGTAAAATTCCTGCTGGTAAATGAGCACTGATAAATGACACACCTTGATAGGGAGCACAGCTCGGTGCTCCCTATTACGATCCACCATCCACGTCTGTTGTGTAGGCCCTGTATGGTGGGAGCTCAGCAGGAATTAGTACCATTTTGAAAATCCCTTCCACTTGGGAGTCAGCAGTTGACAGCTCAAATGCTGTGTCTAGTTGGCATAGCTGCTTCACTTTAATACCCAAGGCAGATTTAACAAGTATAAAAGCTGTCATGAAATTGTCCTCTTATTGTAGCCAGCCCGTGTGTTTTGGCTGATGATTGAGTGTTACTTCAAGTCCTTATTTTAACTCAGTGCTGGCTTGTAATATTTATTCTTCTGGGAATGACACTGCAATGCTGATGATAAAGAAAAACCTGCCATCCCAGCTGCTCTGTTTCAGGAGCTGACAGAGTTCTGCTGCCTCAAGGAAACTGATGCCTTGGCCCTACTGTGATTGATTTGCTGCTGGCTCCAGCACCAAGCTGTGCAGCCGAGCCAGTGAGGCTTGCCTGAAGGCCATTATGAAACAGCAGGCAACTGCATCTTGTGTGCCTGCCCATCAGGAAAATGATGGATGTTGAAATCACTTCTTTAGCACAATACAACAACCACATCTAAAGGAAGGACTGTGCCAAGTACTTGTGACCAATGATGTTCGCTCCTGAAGCAGTGTCCTCAGGAGCAGGAGGTATCTCCTATGGCCTGTGCAGGAGTGTCCCTTGAGCCAGAAAACTTGCTTTTGGTAGCAGGAAAGCGCCTATGCAGGACAGTTCCTGGGACCTTGCTGTAGCTGACTGTCCCTGTAGGAAGACAAGAAAGGGTTCTCTTACTCTTCCATTCTCACTGACACCACTTCCAGGGCAAGTGCTGGGCAGAGGCTCTGCTCCTGCCACTCCCTGTCTAGCTCAGGAGTTCCCTCACTTCAGATTTTTTCAAAGCTCCAAAAGCACCTTGAAGCCATCACATTTCGCAGTGTGCTAAGCAGTGCTCTGTAAATGTGCTCTCTCTGGGACAGGAGATGAAGAGCAGCCATTCTGGTATAATTCTGATAGCCACCTGTCCTGTTAGGAAAGGGGAAGGTGACTGACTCCTGTAACCAATGAAGTTCAAATATGCTGGAGTGGTACAGCACCGTGTCTAGCAGGGACAGTGCTTGATGCTGTGCTGGAGAGGGAAGAGTATGGTTCTCTGGGAAACACAGTAGAGAGGTGCTTAGGAGGAAGTGGGTTTAGAGCAGTATTGATTAATTCTCGAAGCTTGCCTTATGCTGTCATAAATGTGGATATTGGGCAAGTGTTTATTGGTGTTCATCTTGTTTTCTGCCTACAGATTGCTAATGCTAAGGGAATCCTAAAGAATTTTCTGATTGAACCCTTCGTCCCTCACAAACAGGTTAGTATACCAAATAAAGTGTTAAGAAGTGCTTTTAAATCTCTTTTGACTTGCACGCAGCTTAGATGGATTGATATAATGGAGAAAGCAGAAGTTTGGGAGTGTGCTGTTAAGCTGACAGTGTCAATGCATGGTGGTCACAGCTGTGTGCAGGCACAATATCGGTCCATGTGAAGGGTTGTTAATAATCATGTTGGTTGCTGTTATTCTACTGGGGAGAGGTTACAGATTACATGAGAGGGACCAAGTTGGTTGGTCAAGGCAGCTCACTGCTGCTTGAGTCTGGTACTCCTGAGTGTGGATAACACACTGTTGATGTGAGATACCAGCACAAACTGAGGTGAAATATTCATACTCCACCATGGTTTGCGGGAAACCAAAGATATGGGTTCTTTCAGTGCACTCAAGGAAGGACCCTGGTTTGTGCTTCAGTTGTGTAAGATGGGAGCAGTTTTGTCCAGAAATCACTGGCACATTTCACCAGGCTGAAGTGCTCTGGGCCCTGTCGCTCTCCCTCCCAGGCCAGCACAGCCTGTACAACCCTGAGGAGTGTCTGGGTTGCTCCAGTGCTGCTTCTCCTTGGAAAGCTTAGTGGTGTGCTCAGTTGCCCCTTCCCTAGCATTGACACAAGAGCCTCTTCTTCAAGGTCTTCTCTGGGTGTGACTTGCTAATGCTTGTGCCTGTGTCTGTGGTGCAGGAGGAAGAGTTCTACGTGTGCATATATGCTGCCCGTGAGGGAGACTACGTACTCTTCCACCACGAAGGGGGTGTGGATGTGGGAGATGTTGATGCCAAAGCTCAGAAGTTGCTTGTGGCAGTGGATGAAAAGCTCAATGAATCGGATGTAAAGAAATACCTCCTGCAGTATGCACCAGCAAATAAAAAGGAGTAAGTACAAATGCCCAGTTCTGGGCATGGCCAGCCACCCAGAAACTCCTCTCCTTTATTTCAGTGCAACATCCCTTCATTCTCTTTCACCCTAAAGCTTGCTTTCCTACGCTTCTTGCTGCTCTCAAGAATATGCCATGCATCATAAATCCAAGTTCTTTGACCTTATCCAAGCCACTTGTAAAACTCAAAGTAAGCGTTCGTAGTGCTTTGAGCCTTCGCTTGACAGGAGGACTTCTCAGTCTACTGAAGTCTTGACCTCTGAGGTATTGGAGACACGTACTGAATTTTGATCCTTTGTGCCAGCATAAAGAATTTCTTTTATTTAGTAGAAATGGTGATAAGATGTGAATCTGATTGCTAATTCAGAAATGTACTCGCCCTTACTCTGGCCTAGTCTAAGAAGGTATTCTCTTGCTATTCCTGTGCTTACTGCAAGCTTATCTGTAGATCTCAAAACTTCTGCATCTCCTTTAATTAGATGCCTATACCTAGTTATCTTAATGAGTCATGATTTTTCCAAACATAACATAATCACTGATGGCATTGTTCAGCACTGAAAGGCTGAAGAAGCCTGTCACTAATGTAGTTTACTGCAGTCTCTTCCCTATCACAGCTAACAAAGCTTAGTTCTGACAAAGATGCATATGTGACAGTGAGACAATGATGCATTTCTGTCTCTTGGTGACATTAAACAGACTGAGTGTCTATGTGACAGTTGTGAGTAACTATGTTCTCAGCAGAGTTTGGTGGAGTGTAATTAAGATGAGTCATCAAGGTCTTCCTTTCCTTGAGTCATCACCTAGGCTTCTTCCAGAGAAGATGAATGAGAATGAAAGAAATTGATACAGAGTAGATTTGCAGATTGCCACTAATATAAATGAAGCAGAGCAGGCTGTGATTTATATTTGGCTGCTTTAATGAACTTGTGTTAAATTTTTTTACAGCATCTTGGCTAGCTTCATCTGTGGCCTGTTCAACCTTTATGAAGATCTATATTTCACGTACCTTGAGATCAATCCATTAGGTAATAGATATTCTTGGGAGCAGAACTTTCTGTGCTAGAATATTGAAATGTGTACTTTATCCTTCTCTGTTTTATGTAGTTTGCAACAATACTAGGTGATATATGCAAAAGAAGTACAAAAGTGGCTATGATGTGTCCTGGAGCTATTAGTTGAATGAATCCAAAATGAGGACTGCTTGCAAGTGTTCTCTGTTCTCTGGTGGAAATGAAAAATTCCATTGAAAGAGATGTTAAGTCAGAACTGAAGAACGTAAAAATTGCTCTGGTGGATCAGAACAAAACAGCACCTGAACCAGGGCCTGGTCCATGACCATGGTCACTAGTTAATTCTTAAGGGAACTCTCTGGGTTTGGTAAGTACAATTAAATGACGGATGTGGAGGAAGGGCAACAAAGGTGGCCTAGCTTTTGTAATGATCTCTTTATGGTGTCAAATTTTATGAGTAAATCTGTAATGCATGTCTCTGTATAAAACAGAGCTAATTCTAATTTATTTTTTTAAATGCAGTGGTGACTAATGATGGTGTCTACATCCTTGATTTGGCTGCGAAGATTGATGCAACTGCTGACTACATCTGCAAAGTGAAATGGGGGGATGTGGAGTTCCCCCCTCCCTTTGGGAGGGAAGCTTACCCAGAGGCAAGTAACAACCCACTCTGGCCCAAATCCCTCTCTTATGGAGACAAGATTAATTCCTCATTGCCTGTATGTCCATGGCATTGAGGTTTTCCTCTCTTGTGGGCTTTGTTGCTCTGTTTCAAGTACCTTGGCATTACTCTCTATGATAAGAGCTTGTGCAACCTATGTACAGACTGCTGTAGTACTAGGACTTCTCATAATAGCACTCTGGACTGCAATTGCTTTCCATCTTTGCTTGGGTGTTGTTTCAGTTCTTTAATTCAGAATTGACTTTAAATGGAGGCTTATATTTAACTTCATTCAGCTATGTGCCAAAGCTCTGTACTTCTACAGTCTTCCTTATATGGTTCTTGCCTCCATTGCTCCCCTGTCGGCATCATTTATTTTTTGTTGAAGCACTGGTTATTGACAGCCTCATGGCGGCTGATGCTCCCTCGGTGTTTCAGTTACAGTTTCTGAGAGTAGAGTAGCAGTTGTGTGCAAAATCTGCTTGTGAGTATGAATCCAGAGAAAATAATTGCCATATTTCAAACTTCAAAGTAAAAATAAGATGTTAATACACCTGTTTTCCTGAAAAGTGATGACCAAGAAGAGGCCTGCAGGCAAACTTACTGTTTTAAAGTTAGAAATGCCTGTTCCCTCTCAGAATTCCCTGGGTTTGTACTACTCGTCGCATAAACACTGCTTCATACATAGCTTCCCAGCAGCTTCAAAAACTGTTGGAAGTAGAGCTCTCTCCTTAATTGTTCTGTTACTTATTTCAGGTGACTGTTCTGCTGTCTCCAAAAGGATTTCTGTCCTGACTTTTTCATTTTAATAATTATAATTATGTTTCAGTTGGGGAAAGTTTTTGTAACATGGCCAGGAAATCCATTTAGCTATTTCTCTCCATGTAGCTTGCTGGATGCCAACACTTAACTCAATTTGCTCTTAAAAGGATTAGTTCAGTTTTGTCTCTGAATCATCCCTCTGCAAGTCACTGTGAAGGTTGTTATGGCAGTGCCTTTGCTGAGAATTTTAATGAACTCCCAGTGAAGTGCTTCTCAACAGGCAAGCACACTGTGATACAGGAACACCATGTTGAGCCAAATTACAGCTCGGCAATTACATTCTTGGCTGCAGCACTGCCAGAGTGTGTGTAGCCATGGGTGTGTTGATTTTAAATTTCCTCTGGTCTCAGTCTGCAGACAAGGTCAGAACAAGACTTTTCAGTTCAGAGGCATTTGATTCTGTGACTGTCATATGTGGAACCAGGAAACCTGGGAGCTTCCCAGGACTGGCTGAGTAGTGGAGGAAAAGACCACTGTTCATGGAAAGGCCAGTGTAGCACAGCTTAGTGTAACACAACCAACAGTCAGCTGCATTTCTGAAGTTTTTAATGTGCAAACAGGAGAAATCTGCTTCTGGATCTGCACTCTACAAATAAAGTAATATCAAATTTATTTATAGCAATCACTTGTGACTTCACCTGGGACAAGCAAGAGACAAGCCAGCAGGCTTTATAAAGACAATGTATTCTTTGGAGGGTATGATTTATTTTTTTTTCCAAGTAAGAATCAAAATTTGAGCATATGCTCAGGTTGATCCCCTTTGAATTTGCTACAGAGAGAATAGTGCAAGCTCTCTATATCCAGTCTAATTTCAGTGTTCTGTCTTGAAGAACGTGTAACACAAATCAGTCCTGGCCCCTGAGAGATGAAGCTGGGTCTCTGTCCCTTACAAAAATGGTGTTCGTAGTTCTGCTTTCCCCTCAGTTGCAGTTGAGAGGAGATGGGGGAGATCTGCATGTCCAAACAGCACTACAAACCCTCTGATTTGGAAAAGGAGGGTGCAGAAGGAAGCTTAAATTGTGTGCTGCTCTGTCTGCAGGAAGCCTACATTGCTGACCTGGATGCAAAGAGTGGAGCCAGCTTGAAACTTACTATTCTCAACCCCAAAGGCAGGATCTGGACCATGGTGGCTGGTGGTGGTGCCTCTGTGGTTTACAGGTAACAGGAACAAGGTTTCCACAGAGGGAGGGTGGATTTACAGTGCTCTAAGAAAACAATTGATGCAGCCTCTGGAAAGGAGACTCTTCTAAGGTGATCTTTCCCATGCCATGACTGCTTGGGACCTCTTCAAAATGAAGATGCTCTGCAGATTTCTTACCAAGATGTGGAACATAGTGTCCCTTGGAGATAATTTAATTCTGGGAGGTTGAGATACAGTTTCTTTTTGACTTGGAAAGGAACAGCTAGCTGAAAGCTGTTTATGGTAATATCATTGCTATGGTAGTTACTGAGTTCCCATCATATCTAGGAAGTGTAACAAGATTTAATCATGACTGGCACCAAGAGGAGAGCAGCTTTGTCTTCAGCAGACAGCACGATCTCTCTGTTACAAGTCCCACTTTCCCAGAAATTTGGAATGCTTTAAGACCTTTAGTTATAATTTGAGTCACTATAATCTCTTAAATAACTTTTTATTTTTACAGTGACACCATTTGTGACCTGGGGGGTGTGAATGAACTGGCTAATTATGGGGAATACTCAGGAGCCCCAAGTGAGCAACAGACCTATGACTATGCTAAGACTATTCTCTCTCTCATGACACGAGAGAAGCACCCTGAAGGTAAGGGGAGCCACTGCAATTGCAAAGCTGCTCAGCTGTGAAGCTGTGTGTGGGGAAAAAAACCTGAACAAATCTGGGCTGTTACTATGCTTAGACCTCCCTGGCAGAGCTTTTAATGTACTGCTGCCATCCAAGTGAAACAGTGATGGATTTCTGTCAGAGAAATCTTGCTTCAGAGACAGGACTTGCGGCTTTCCATGTAGCAAAGAGCAAATGTGGCTCGAGAGATTCTTATCAGAAAAATTCTTGCTTGATACAAAGCTCTTATCTTCCAGGCTCTGCTAAACACAACTTCTGCAGACTATTGGCTAGTCTGAACTGCAGCATTGTTTCACTTTATATCCTAAACTGCTTCATGTACACTGTGTTCTTAATACAGTTTTATTTATGCATGTTTCTTCCCTCAGGTAAAATCCTGATCATTGGAGGCAGCATTGCTAACTTCACCAATGTAGCAGCCACTTTTAAAGTAAGTACTATTCGAAATTATCAGCAAATGCCCACAGTCATCAACCCTAAGCCATTCTCTCCAGTTCAGTGTTGCGCTGAGGCTGACAGTGCATCTTTTCCAGGAGTTCCTGTGATGATGGGACAGGGTAAACATTGGGCTGCTGAACTCACCTGTCCTGTATGTCTCTTTTAGGGCATTGTGAGGGCAATTAAGGATTACCAAGGCCCTCTGAAGGAGCATGAAGTGAGGATCTTTGTGCGAAGAGGAGGCCCGAACTACCAGGAAGGATTACGTGTCATGGGAGAAGTTGGTAAAGACCAACCATTTCCTTAAGTTTTCTTGTGTCTTGTTTCTTCCACCTGCTTTCTGCTGAGCCTCTTCAGGGCTGAATGCTTCACTTTGGCAGAAGCTCATCTTGTTCCTTTTTCTGCCCACGGCTGACAGTTCTTCTGTGTGTACACAGGGAAGACGACTGGGATCCCCATCCATGTCTTTGGCACGGAGACTCACATGACTGCGATTGTGGGCATGGCGCTCGGCCATCGGCCTATCCCCAACCAACCACCTGCTGCAGCCCACACCGCCAACTTCCTCCTCAATGCCAGCGGCAGCCCTTCGGTGAGTTCCTTCCCCTCTGTGAAAGGGAACGCTTGTGAAGAGCCTCCTGAAGGCAGCGTCCCCTGTCTGAACAGGTTGGAAACAGATCTTGGCCCCCACTGTATTTGTACAAAGCTCTACGAAAACTGAAGTGACTCTGCCTGCATGGTTTATCAGAAGGGGCCCTTCCAATGTCCATCTTGGTTGTGCAGAAAATGTGACCCCCTCAAAACCAATGTGACTCTTGCATCTACTGGGAACTTGGTCGTTTAGTTTTCCCTCACTTGACTGAAATGGTCCTACCTCAAAATTAACTTTCTCTGGTTTTCTTTGTAGACTAGCATAGCCAAAGTGGCCACCTCCTCCTATGTGCTCCAGGCCTTATCTGGCACGCTGTCCCTTACTGACTTGGCTTCTGAATCTTTCAGACTCCAGCACCAAGCAGAACAGCTTCCTTCTCAGAGTCCAAACCAGATGATATTGCTCCAGCCAAGAAGGCAAAACCAACAGCACCTCTTGGTAAGTTCAGCATTGGAAATGATCGCTAGCAGTTCTCTTGTGCTCCAAAAGGCAGAATGTGGACTAGACTAATGGTTTTTGTGGATATGAAGGGAAGCAATTTTGTGGTACCTGTCTATCTTCTGTTTTGAATTTAGTTAAGTGCTTTTAGAATGTTGTCACTTGTGCTGTTAGCTTATACACAAGGTGAGTCAGAGTTGCCTTAGTCTGGGATGTCCCTTTGAAGGGAAACAGCACAGTCTGAGAACTCCAGCATTCCCATGTCCCCTTATGTGAGATCAGCAGACAACAGGTTAGAGTATCTGTGCTGTGGTTGCTGAACTGAGGCCTGCTTTCCAGTTAAGTACCTGGGGGGTGTTCCCATGGGATGCTGCTGGAACAGTGTAGGTATTCAGAAAGTCCTTCTTGGTATATGCTGCAGTTTCCTGGATGAATACTCTACAGTCAGTTCAGTAGGAGTTGTGATGTAGTCCTCACACATTTAGGGTTGGAGATTACTCTGTGGTGTGTTTTTTGTTTTGTTTTTCAGGTGGTTTAGTTTTTTTTTTTACTGAAGTTTGTAGGAAGCTTCTTTAGCGTGGTGATATGCAAGACCTTTGGCAGCTTTTTTGTTGTATCTGTTAAAGCCTTATTGGGTCAGAGTGTGTTGTATTGGGGGGGGAAACAAAAGCAGAGTTGCACAGGTACAGAATGTCATAATGTCCTGGTCCTCCTCCCCTGAATGTGAGGAGATACTGGCCTCATTTACAACAGTATGACATGATGACAAGATTCAGATCCGATTCTGGTGAAACGCATCACAAAACCCACTACTGCTCTCTTAATCATTGCACACAGAATTTCGCATGAGCAATGCTTCAAAAAGATGCTGAAAATACGTGAGCCATGGAGCTTGCACTGCAAGGAACTCCCACCTGAACCTGAAATGTGTTTGTGCTGGGATAAGCAAAAAGCTTCTAGATGGCAAAATGCAAAATTTGATGTCCAGTTATTTGGAGAGGAAGTACAGTGGAGAGTGCTCCAGTCTGCTTGTTTTTTAACAAAAGCAAAACCCAAAAGGCCTGAGTGCTGTGGGGAGGAGGGAAGCTGCAGCACCCCACTGCAGGTGCCCTGCTGTTGGGATGACAGCAGCCAACTCTGTCATACTGTTGCATGAGTTATTCTCTCTTTAACAGATTCAATCCCAGCTTCAAGACCTGGTTCAGGTAGGACACACGTGACTAGCTGAATGTGCCTGGCCTTGCTGGCAGCTGACTTTTTTAGTTCTTGGTTTTGTTGCTGTTTTTTCTCTCCAAAAGTTTGCAGTGTTGTCTGGTCCTTCCCTTCCCTCCTGCCCAGCATATTTAGCTATCACCATATGAACTTTTCATCTGTTTTTTCAAGTGCAGATCACATATTCCTTTGCATTAAAACTTACTATTTCTGGGGGAGAGAGGGACAGGTCTCAAACAAACTTTAATCTTTCTTCTCTTCCCCCCAACAATTATTAAAGAAAAACAGACCTAAGCATATTGTGCAAAGCTCTGCTCTCTGCTTTCAGAAAGAAGGAATCACTAACCATGCCTAATGACTGGCATTTTGTTTCAAAGGGGAACAAAATAGTGCAGGTGCTGTGCTTATGAGCCTTGAAGGACACAGGAAAGTCACGGAATGAACTAAATGTTCTTGTTGCCTTATCAGTTCAGCAAACCATTAAAGCTTGATCTCAGTGAAGTTATGGGGACTTTAAGCACCCTATTGAGCTCTGTGCTGGGTGAGAATAAACTGCTGAATCAGGGTCAAAGTAGAGTTTCAAGACATCACACCTATCACAAAAGGAGGGATAGTAGAAGGGGAACTCTCAGATTCTTCCTTGTGTGGTCTCGGACAAACAGCATTACCTTTCTGGGCCTGCATTTTCCTGTTTCTATGAATACTAATATTATGCCCTTGCAGCCACCTGCAAGATAAACAGAATTTTTCAGGGTAGGCAGTTTCCTAATAAAAGTCATGTGGCAGTGCATCTAAACTGTGAACATGTACGGTTGGAGAATAGTGACTGATTTCTTGTTAAAGCCAGAAGAACTGTTGAATCCCTAATGCTGTATACCTTTGATTCAAAGCCATAAAGGAATTAGTGGTAGACTGAGTTGGCATCAGCAGTTGGATCAGCTCTGAGTTCTTAAGAGTTTTTACATTAATTCTGCATGGAGTCAAAGGGAGAAACTCAACGTTTTGCTGTGACAAGTGGTGTAATTATACTTCAAGCAAACAGTCCATCCTCACTAGCTGAACTGTTGTACTGTCACATGTGACACTGTCCCCTGAAGCCAAGTTCTGGGCCATATATATATTCTTGGAGCCATCAGGTTTGTGATGATCAGAATCCAACAAAAAAAAGAAAACAAAAGCTGAGTATGTAGAGCTCCTTTGCTTTCTTTGTCCCTTCCATTTCCTGCCTTTCTTTTTATTTCCTATCATCCTACTGTAATGCCCTGACAAACTCAGGAGGCAAACCTCCTGTGGTTCTCCCAGGCTGTATGCCATATGCAAATAAATAAATAAAATTCAAAGTTCCTTTCCTCTTCAGCTTTGCACAATAAAACTGAGAGGAACATGAATGGCCCATGTGAGAAGAGGAAGAGGCAGTTTTCACTTCTTATCTCTCCTCTCCTGCACCAGCTTCCCCCTGCCCCCATCCCTGTGATTAAGCACTTGCCCATTTTGTGAAACCCATAAACCTGGCTATTGTGTTCAGAATCCTGGGAAGGGGGATGCTGCTTCATCGACAGTTTCTTCCTTAATTTGGACAGTGTGGCTACTACATCGTGCAGTTCACCTGTTGGGTTCAGTTTGGAGGGGGGGAATACGCTCCTCTGGGAGACTTTCAAGAGACATTTGGCAAAGTTGCAGCTTTTCTCTTGCACAGATGTACGTTTTGAATGTGTTTTGGTTTTTTCCCCTCTCTCTTGAGCAGGTAAAGCTACAACCCTGTTCAGCCGTCACACCAAAGCTATCATCTGGGGGATGCAGACACGGGCTGTGCAAGGAATGCTGGACTTTGATTATATTTGCTCCCGGGATGAACCTTCAGTAGCTGCCATGGTTTATCCATTCACGTAAGTAGCCTGTGTTGACTGTTATTTTTCTGAATGCTTCCCTCAGATTCTTCTGTTAGCTTCCTCCTTTTCCACTCTCTGCTGTTCTTTAGTGTAGCTCTGCCCTAGTCTACATCTGTGCTTTAACACCTCCTATGCTCCTTTCCACCATCAGGTTGGCTTTGCAGACTGCTTCCTGTTTACCTCAACCATTGATTTCAGGCTGCTCCGTTGAAACAGCTTAATGTTAGCTGCAGAATTTAAGTCCCGCTTCATGCTCTTTCAAAGGGTGTCCAAATTTTGTTCCTTCGTTCAGCAAGTGAGGAAGGCACAACTAGTTGGGCTTTCTTGAACAGCCTACTGGCTTAGCAGAGGCAGTAAGGCTGTGTTAAGGTTTCTTCCACGCATCTACTGTTTGCTGCATGCTTGTCTGAGACATCCTGATTTGTGTCTGCAGCAGCTGGAATTTTCCCCTCCAAATACTAGCCAGAACTGGAGCAGCTCTGCTAATAGACTAAAGCAGTTTTTCTGTCATGTTGCCAAACAAAATTAAAAAAAAAAAAATCCCGTTTATTTTGTTCATACTCTTTCCTATAGTGGCAGTAGTTTCTTAGCAGGCAGGAAGTGTGCAGATCCTTCAGTGGGACAGAGTTCTCTTCTGTTATTCACCCTCTTTTACCTTATCCCCACAGCTAACAGGGATGAGAGGGGCTATTGGGTGTTTCAAATTGCTCTCAGGAGGAACCTCCAGAGCACAGCTGTGCATAAGCTCTTTTGTTATTGTACCTTGTGAGTGGGGGGGGGGGGGGGGTCTCCCTGTCAAACAGGGCAAGTAGCGAGAAGGAAAGGAGTGGCTGTCTGGCCTGCTGCTGAGACAGTGAGATGGGAGCCCATACAAAGGTAGGAGGTTTGTTTCATTTCTGTGGTATTTACAGACATCCAGGATAGCTGATGTCTAATCAACCTCTGTCTTGCAGAGAATTTTGCCTCTTGACAATTAAGTACCTTGTACTGTTAGTCTGTGATGACAGTTGCAGCTCTGTAATAACTTCTCAGCAAGTGCAAACCTCAGGGTACTAAAACTTGAGTGCAGGCATAGCCACATCTATAGATGAGTGGCAACCCCTTGCAGTGGCGCAGTTCTTTAATGAAGAAAAAGCAATAGGGATTAAAAGGTTAAGGCTACCTATAATTAATTTTCTGATTCTCTTGACCTTTTGGAGGAAGCCAGGCTGGCAAAACCTGGAATGTTCTGTTACAAATGTACCAATATGGGAATGCAGCCAATATCTCTACACTCTTAAATGATTGAACAGTATAGACTTCAATGAAGTTCCAGTCAGAGCATCTACCATATATAAAAGACAACACATAGAATGAAAGTTTCCTAGGTGCATGTCCTTCAGCATGTGTAGGGCAGGGTGGGTAGAGTCTCACTGTAGCAGAATTGGAAAGCTGACTGGCCCTCACATTGCTGTCCTTGCTGTTCACCACAGATACTGGTTTCCTGTCCCCCCAGTCCAGTATTTGTTCCAGTCCAGTAATGCAGCTTTGCATGCATCTCATTCATTACTCTTTCTGTGCCTCATTCTGTCTTCCAGCTTGGAGTAGAATTGAGGTTCTGGTAACTTCACTGTGGGAGAGCTTATTCATCTTGCTGGATGCCTCTGTCCCTATTAGCCCGTCTCCTTCCATATGCTGCTCTGTTCTATACTCTGAAGAACCTTCTGCTGTTAGTATGGTCCCTCCTCATGTATGCTCACTTGCTAGTGAGTGTCTCACAGTCAGTCTTGGTGTCTGAGAATTGGGGTTTGCAAACTCCTCTGTCTGCATGCACTGTATCCCTTTGTCTTTCCAGTACCCTTAAGGGTTGGGACTTTTTCATCTTTTCCTCCATAGTGGTGACCACAGGCAGAAGTTCTATTGGGGCCACAAAGAAATCCTGATCCCAGTCTACAAGAACATGTCAGATGCCATGAGGAAGCACCCAGAGGTGGATGTTCTCATCAACTTTGCATCTCTGCGCTCTGCTTATGACAGCACCGTTGAAACCATGAATTACCCACAGGTGAGGGGGGGATCTAGAAGCAGCCCAAGAAAAGAAGGAAGATCTTGTCAGCAGGGTACCAGTGTTTCTTAAACTGTGATGGCATTAGCAAATTGTCTTGGTTTTCCAACTTGGCAGATAAATACCTCAATTCTAACTCCTTATAGACTCTGAGGAGGACACTGGGGTTGCATAGCAAATTTGAACGCTGGACTTGGAATTTGTGTACAAGGAACTGGGCACCTCTTGGTTAAGAGTAATTACTATGGGTTGGCTAAAACATAGTGCTGCTTTAATGTGCAAGGGGGAGGAAAAAGATTCTCTGAACACTGCATTGAGACTGCTGTGAAGATCACAGTAGACTGTGGATCCATGCACTGGGCCTTCTAGTATGAGAGTGCACAGTGTGACCTCCTAGAGGCCTGATAAGGCAGAGGCTGATCATTCCCCCTGAGCAGCTGTTTGCCTTCTCTGTCCTGCAGTTTGTTAGGGTGGTGACACTGAGGGTTGCTAATGGTTTTCTTTTTATCTTGATGCAGATTCGCACCATTGCCATTATTGCCGAGGGCATTCCAGAGGCCCTGACCCGCAAACTGATCAAGACAGCTGATAAAAAAGGAGTCACTATCATTGGGCCTGCAACTGTAAGTACTGATCACCTTTTTCTTTTCTTGTCCATCTGTCTTAATCTTCAGATCAGCTTTCTCTGAAGGATAAAGTATATCCTACAATCCATTTTGTCTTTAGTCATATCAAGTGCATGTTAGTTTCTCACTTTAAGGTCACATTACTGTCTTCTGTTGTTTGTATAAATACTGACAAGACTGTCTTATGGAAATGTTCTTAAGTTTCATGTATATTTTAAAGGGCTTTACATCTTTCTCTAATTTTCTTGTAGGTTGGTGGGATCAAACCAGGTTGCTTTAAAATAGGCAACACAGGAGGCATGCTGGATAATATTTTAGCATCAAAACTGTACCGTCCTGGCAGTGTGGCTTATGTTTCACGGTCTGGAGGAATGTCCAATGAGCTCAACAACATCATTTCCCGAACCACTGATGGGGTCTATGAAGGGGTGGCCATTGGAGGAGACAGGTAGGAGTCTGCATCTTCAACAAAGACACCATTTTTTCAAGTTGGTTAACAAAAGAATTGTTAGTAATTTGGAGGAAGAAAGGCAGGTTGGCGTTAATTTTTCTTCTTTCAGAGAAGTTTATGAAACAAACTTATACCACTTTCCCTGTATTCTACCCAGATATCCTGGTTCAACTTTTATGGATCATGTCTTGCGTTATGAGGATACTCCAGGAGTGAAAATGATTGTAGTACTTGGAGAGGTGAGTGAGACCAGTTCACTCCTATCTAAGAAATACCTAAGTGTTTTGTCTTGGGAACACCTGACCTGGCTGCAAGGATGCTAAATAACAGCTGCAGATAAGTGGAAGCTATTTATACTGTTGTTGAATGTCTGATTTTTTTTCATGCTTCTTTAATCTAAAGAAATTGAGTGTATTCCACAGACAAGCATAGTCTTTCCTACATTAAAAAAAAAGTCAAATAAAGAGGCTTTGTTCTGAGACTTCAGCTGTTACTCATTGTGTTGTGGTTTAACCCCAGCCAGCAACTAATCACCATGCAGCTGCTCACTCACTCCCCCCTGCCCAGTGGGA